CCCTGAGAAGGATGGAAATTGGGATATGCCCACAATTTCCAACAATGTCGAAGCCTGGTGTTTCACGAACTCTTTCCAGTCCTCATCAGCCCAAAGCTCCCTGCGGCTGCTGGTGGAAGTTCTCAAAATACAGCAACCCAGAAAGTTAAGGGGTTGGGGATTTGGTTAAATGTGGAGTTTAGGATAGGTAAGGGATTATGAGGTTTAGGGGCTGCCAGACTCAGGCGTACCTTTGAACATTCCAGCGCGGATGGCTGGCAATTCTACATGGATAGTGGCAGGTTTTTTGAATGACATAAGCATCGTTTTGAGACGCTCCCAATGTAGATAACGTGAGCTGCTGAAGGGGCCGCGACTTGAAGAAATCACAAAGTCTGACTGCTGCGGGAAACCTAAAATGCCCCCGGTGGATCCCTACGACACTTTAGATCTTAGAGATCACAAGTTCGAAGCACTTGAGACTTCGCTCGAAAGAATTTCGTTAACATCAGGGACGAAAGTCTCCAAAGCAGCGGCACGGCAAAGAAAGCCTGCAATTACAGGGGTGCGGACGGTTAATTGCCTACCAACAGCGTCATTTGTTCATGGCATTTACGCGGTCATATGGAGTCATACTGTTGCATTTGCAACTCTCGGTCGAAACCCACACCTCAAAATCAACCCCGCCTAGATTTCCTTTCAAGGAGACTCCTCAGACTTCACCCGTGCTTTTGGTATGCGAATCTGACGTCAAAACTTACCCCGAACCTCGGGGACGCAAAAAAAGAGACAATTTGTTCTTTCCAACCACCGACTGCTTGGGCAGCGGTCCACCATGGCGCCAAGCACGCATTCCCGACTGGGCTACAGTTCAGGCATGGAGGATTGAAATGCCGCCTGCGCAGGTAAATCTAGGAACCTGTGTTGTTAGAACAGGATTCGGATATCGCTTTCATATTCGATGATAATACCTCAGACACTCTGTCGGCGCAGAAGTAGACAGTTTCCCCACAGAACTCCGGCAAGGGTATAATAACGCTTGTCGCATAAGGACTCTAGGACCCTTATTAAAGTCGCAGAAGTAGGCCTTCCGCGTCTGACCTCTCAAGTTGAAATGAAGACGCTAATCTGCACTCTCCGAAGTAGAACATACAACTTGCATGAGAGGCATACCAGTAGCAAGGCTTTCCTGATGCGCCTTCTCAGATTCAGATTAAATCTCTAAGTGATTTATTTCGCTGATGGGTCCTCCCGGCTTCGAAGCCGAAGGCTCCATCAAAACATACCTCCAGACTCTACTCAAATGACTATAACTATAACTTCTCACCCAGGCTGCTTGGGATGCTTCACAGTCAAGGGCTGAAGTCTCACTTACTTGCTTAGCTAGCAGGAGCAGGTGACTCCATAGCAGAGCGCTTGTGACCTCTGCAACTGTGAAGAAGCTGCTATGTACACAGTGCATGCAAAGTCATGTTGCAAATCGAACCCGGCTGACCATATTCCAACAAGGCAGCTCCCAAATGAATAAGTCCCTCTGCTGGGCTGGGCCTAGACGCACTGTTTACAGACGTGAACCCTACAAGTTCATGCACTCTACTGTAAGGTTGAAACCCTGGCCCTTAACCCTGGGATCCTTAGATACCCTATATGTTGTTTTAAGGGTCCCTAGAATCAAAAGCCCTACGGGCCCATATTAGCGGCCCATACATGTCACTTTACAACTACAGCGCCCAACTTGCCGGTGCCCTGATTTGTTTTTCTTATGCGTAGCAGCCCCCAGGCCCCAAGGCTCCTAGGTACCTTTTGTGTTCGTTACTACTGCTTTTTTTTGGTAATCCCAACCCCCAGCGAAGCTGTTTGAAGGGGGTTTGCAGCCTGAAGCTGAGGACAAATTAAACGGGCGGGATGCTATTAAAAAAAAGTCATAACACCGTAAACTCTGTTACCAACAACTCAGTCCGGTCTTGTTTCTTACGACACGGAGATTTCATTAAAAACCCTAAAAGATTTTTAGAATAAAAAACGAATTTACAACCACGCGGCTAGCCAATCCAGACAAAATAATGTGTCCCAAGGAACTATTTCAAATTCTAAGGGTGGGGGGGTTGGGGTTGAGAGTTTGAGATCGTGTAATCCTCATGAAATGGCCCCCAAAAACGGATGCATGATTTGGGGAGCTCCTGAATATTAGCCCTAATATCAGTCTACAATCCAATCGGCCTATATTCTTGCAACATCCCAGGGTCCCTAAGGGCCCGCTCGCGATTTTGCTCATAGGCTCAGACTACCACTGCGGTCTCGGCCACACGAGCCACAGTGGCTGCCAAATTCACCCCGCAGCGGCCGGTCCCACGCTCCTCAACAAGAGGCAGGCTTGGTGCCAAATACATACCCTGAATGCCTAAAACATATAGAAGAATGACCTTTTCCCTGGTTTCAGGGGGTTTGGGTCGATATTTACCTACTGTTGGGGTCCAGGACATGGCTATGTCTTTGGGTGGGTTATAAGGCCTTTGCTGAGGCAGCTAGGGAAGTTGCATGGGCTGTATGTGAGCATATGAGATAGGTCTACTGCAAAACAAGCATGCAATCCAGAATGTTTGTCATGGCAATGCTGAGAACCATGGCAATTCATGTAGAAGGAACCCATGGAGACAGTTCAGGCTGAAGTTGTAAGCCGTTTCAACAAGTGGAACAGCTACCAGCTAGCGGGTGCGTCCACCAATTCCTATCATCGTTGGAAGCTCCATGGGACCATCCGCACCCATCTCGGACCCAAAGAACCGCCGAGCCAGATCAAAGAGACAACTGTAGCCTATGGGGCCTTGCTGCCAGCGAGAAGGGGAATGAATATGACAGGTGAGCACAAACCAAAGTGGTACCTAATTATGCTTCGAACAATACCTGCCCTGGATCTCGCTGAATCAACGTTCGACGGCAAGTCAGAGTGTAAGACAGCAGTCCAAGCAGGATCCTGTACTAGTGGGACATATGTCACATCACATGCTCCGACAAGCAAGGGGTCCGAACCAAGCCCAATAAACATTATTAACCCACAGAGAAGTCTCCAATCGAAGGAAGCCGTTTTCGCCCCACTTCTCACCCCAGGAGTTTTTCAGCCTGACACGGGTTTCAACCAGCGTCAGATTTGCATTGTGGGTACAAGCGCGGCACACAAGATCTCACCCTTGACTTCGATAGCTTGTGCTTTGGCAGCTCAGCAAAACTTTCCATAGGCTGCCACCATTAAGGCTTCTTGGAACAGAGCATGGAAGCTCAAGGGCATTCAAGGACACCTTATCACTGGTTCCTTATGCGACAAACTGTTGACGCCTGCGGGCGCGCAAAACATAAGAGAATTCAGTAGCACAATTTGGCCTAGCTCCATGGCGAGAATTCTGTTTGCCAGTGTGACCAAAAAAAGCCAGCCGTCTTCATGAGCGCAGCCCGTTTGCTGAAGAATTGGGATGAGCCTCCAGTAGGGCTTATCCCCGCCAAGCACGCCACGGTCCTGCACTTTGGGGGCTCGGAGGCTTGCTGCTTTGAAAAAAATTGAGCGTACCATTCATCGACCCATTCCGGGGGAGGTTGCGGGGAGGTTGCCGGGAGGTTTTCAGGCGATAAGACAGGAAGTATGGCTAGGCAATGTCGGCAACCAAAGGACACAGCCTTGCGTTGCTCATTGCGGGGCTACCCTTTGCGAAAGCGTTTCGTGGCGCGGCATCAAAGCCTGCATCTAAATAAATCAAGGTTGTGGTTCCAGGAAATTGAACCATTTTCGTGCTTTCCAGAGACAGAAGCCCGTAGTCTTGAGCTGCCGCTGCCTGTAACAAATTAAGCGAGTCAACGCTTCGGAAAGTTTTAGCAAAAAGTGTCCAAGCAACTCTTAGGAAAAAGTTGCTGCAATGGGCAAGGCAGCTGGCCAGGTTTCCTGTAAAAGTCTGTCACTGTAAAGTCCCACTCACCGCAAGTTGGAGAGGAAACCAGAGCACTGTAGTCCCGAAACCGCTCAAAAACTATAGATAATAAATGACTGTAACGTGATGGCTATGGCTCGTTGCCAGCTACTGCAACTGTGTAGTTGCTACTACCCTTACCACCCATTAGCATGCTTCTGCTGACAAGCAATACCAGAGTTTAGAGTAGCATCAGTAGCTGCATGGCAGCCACAAAATATGTTAGTTCTCGTGCCTGGCCGTAGCCTACCAGCAGCACTGCATGGTCGAGTCCAAGGATACCTCAGTAGCTCCAAGCGTGCCAACATTCAGCCCCTGCACTCTGAAACTGGTGATTGCTTGGATCTGTGTTGAGCAAGGTGTAGATGCTCTGCAGTTTGGACTTGAATGTCTGCCTCTCCAGAAATCGATACACTCTTAAACGCTGCCCCTCTCCCGCAGATTGCTCTGTGCTGCGGGCATATGACACCTACCAGGAGCTGCCCGCCCAAGCTATGGGGACTTCTCCTGTCTTCAAGCTTAGAAGGATTCCAAGACCTGACCCTTCAAGCCAGGAGCTCAAGCGTCCTTTGCATACTGCTTGGGTCCCCGCAGAATCCTGCCTGAATCCCTATATGACTCCCAAACAACCTCAATGAAAGACTCACTGCTACTGTTGAAATAAAAAATCCTGCATGACCTTAGTATACTCAAGTACCAGAAGTCGGTCGTACAGGATTTTGACCGTCCACCATATCCCCCATTTTGGACACATGCAACAGCTGGGAGGGCTAGGGACCTTGATCTGGATCAGGCTGGCAACCCAGAACGCCACCTCCAGAGAAGGTAATGGTTTGACAGTCATCGGAAACAGCGACAATCATAATGGAAATTGATCACCATAGTAACCGACAGTACAAACAGTGATTGAACTGTACTCGCATCGGCTGTAAGAAACATATTAAGTTGTCTCCTTAAGAAGCATACACGCATCCTGCACAATAGCGGAGTAGGTCAGAAGAAACGTGATTTCGAAGACAGTCAGTGCACTTCCTACTCTCCGTCGTTCCCAGTGATCTGGCCCACCTCGCCAGATCCCGGAGTGGTAGAACTGAAGGTTATCCTGAGCTGGTCTCAGCGGGCATTGACATCTCTTGCTCGCCGCCTGCTGGTCTCCCTGAGCTTCTTAGAGGAGTGAGAAATGAATCCCTCTAGCGACCCAGTACATCTGGAGCACCTCCCTGATTAACTTGCTGCCAGCATCTGCCACAATCAGCACGGACAGTGGCCCATATTGTACCAGCTGCGAAGCAAGCTCCGATTCATTGCCTGGGTTGTTGCCAGATCCATGGGCTTTGGGAGGGCTCCAGGAATGTATCGGGAGGACTATGTAAGAATGGCCTATACACGGCTGGAAAATAGGGGATCCTATCTTCGGCCCCAGACAACTTTCCAGAGCCCACAAGCGGCTACAAACATTTGGGGCTTCAAGTAGTTCTTTGTAATCTTCGCAATTGGGGCACGCTTCTCAGAATAACGGCTGTGCTCTTACGTATAAGGTACTGCTATGTTATTGGAGGGATGTAGTCCTTGTACCAAGTGGCGGCTCAGTGCCCTCCATCCAGTTACGCGCGTGGCGAAGCCGTGCGAGGCGTGGCAGAGCTGCAACGGGCCCTGGCCTCCGTCGGTCATCATCCCGAGCAGCTTGGGCGTTTGGAAAACCCATGCAAAGACTGCACAGGTCCACATCTGGGGCCCGACCCATAAAGACGAGGGGAAACATGTGTATCGGCGCGACAATCAAGAACCGACTACCAAGCAGCCCGACGAACTATTGCAAAGAGAAAGGAGATGTCGGATTGACCGGAAGCTGAGGTTCATACTTGATCTGTATGGAGACAGGAGTATTGGGGGCTCAAGGGCAAGCAGGGCAAGCTACTCAACCCGCCTTTCGTGGAGTTGGGCTTGCAGAAGAGGTCGTCATGGTTGCCGCAGAGAGGTTTGCTGTAGCCTCTCGCAGGATGACAAACATCTAGCTTGTAGCTTCTGCGCCTTGCACCTCTGGGTCCTTCCTGCCCCTCATTACACAGCAGGGTAGCAAAACCAGCGCGCATGTTGCATCAAGGCGTTGTTGACATGTACGCCCTTAAGGAATCCCTGCCACGCCTTTGGGCATGCATGGGTACATGCCAGTCGCCCAATAGGGCCAGTCTGCTTCACTGAACATGCCACCAGCGCTCCTGGATCTCGTGCAAGCGCTCGTGAGACAGAACTGCTGTTTTGCTTCTGTATAGGCAAACAGACGAGGAAACCATCTATGATTAATTATCAAGTGATGAGAAGGGAACCTAGAAGTTTGCTTTCATTTCATCGATTCCATGCTGGTGCAAATCCGAATGCAACAAGATAGCCCAGAGTCCCGCCATGAAGCAACAAGATGTTAGTGGGCCAAGGCTCTGGAGATATTGGTAGGCCAAGTAGGGCCAGCCACCAAACATGCCGCAGTCAGCACCTCTGGTTCGATTGAGTAATCTAAACTAGAACTGAATTCTGGTGCTTCTCCTGAGCCTCTGTGCATGTTCAGATAGGTCTACAAGCAGAAGATGTCTGTCAGAATCTCATGGCTCATGGGCTTCGGCTCTTCAGTAAGCGTCGTGCAGCAGGCCAGTTGTTCATGCTGAGTCCCAGGCATCCTTTGCCTCCAGCGCAGGAGGGATCCGTGCTTGCCTTGCTGTGTTGAAGGATACAAGTCAAGCTTGTCAGCGGCTGCAGCGACGGGAATGGCGAACTGGACTGGGCTGCAAGGCAGGAGTTGCGTCGGGTGTCAGGCCCGCACATGGTCATGTCCAATCTGCTCAGAAAGCATCATGACAATGTTCTCTTGGGCCAAGCCGCATCACACTCGATCAGCTGCTCTGGCGACATCGGAACCAACTTGCCACTTGTGATAGCCACCTGACCTTTCCATCACTTTAGGAGGTTGTTTCTGTTGCTGACAAGTCTGTGCACTCTTTGGAAATTGCAGTTGTCGTTGCAAAGACATTAGTATCTGTAGAATCTCTGGAGTACTGTTCAAGCAGGCTCTGCAATGCTAAGATGTTCGCAGAATTTCGCAGAGAGACGCTGGGATTGCCACGGGAAGATGAACTCAGCAGAACAGAGATGCATTAAGAGGGATCGCGCATTGTCTATGCTCCGAGCTTTATAGCCTCTGGCCTTCCACTGCCTCCGCCGTAGACACAGCCCAACAGGACCCCAGCGCCTTGGCCATCTGTAGTCAACACTACAGAGGATTGGGGTAATATTAGGGTTATATCGGGGATATATTTGGGAATAGGGTTTCGGGATTTCCGGAAGCGTGCGGGAGGGATAGCTGGGAAGCGGTGAACTGCTTCTACACTTTCTAAGTTGTCCCTCACCACACGCCCTAGCGTCATGTGAGAGCAGCAAAAACCAAAGCCAATGACACGGGTTCATGGCTGTCTTACACTACAATCCACTGCACGGCTCCAATTATTTCAACTCTGTACTGCATTTGGGGTCACAGACAAACTCGGAAAGGCTTCTTTGCAATCGAAGTACCTGCTGGTCTCGGACAGGGCCGACTGCGCCTGGCGTGTAACATAGGTACTGTGTAAACATGGGGATAATAATGGGCTCATCATAGGGAGCCACTTCTTCACTCCAGCCGAAACACGCCTAGGAACAGAGATACTTTGGTAGCGCCTCATTTGATGAGTCTTGCTTTGACGGCCGCCACGGCCCACACACTCAAACCTGTCGCCTCTGCTCTATCATCCCAGACTGGTGAAACAGAAGGAGCAAAGGGATTCATCAATGGCATGACAATCCTCGACTCCTTGACGCACCTATTTTCCAGTCAATGGAAAATGTTCTCGTCCATTTGATTCTCTGATATTCTAACCACAGTATTCCGCCTTCATGTTTGCGCTTCCAAGTTCACGTTAATAGTAATGGAGATATTCATGGTAGCAATCATGGTATGGGTCATAGCAAGAGTAGCGGCAAAGTAGACGCCTAAAACATCGCCTGGAACTACAGCAAATTAATCATTGCCAAGTAATGTCCCCATAATGCGCTGAGAAAGCCTCCAAGGCAGAAGCCCCTGCTTAGCTGCTACAATTGTCAGATCAGACCGTTGAATGGTTGACAGTAAATAAAAGCCAGGCAACCCCGAACCTCCTTGCTTTCCGTCCCACATGCTGCTATGCACTCCTCTCCAAAAACCCTGCGCAATCCTTGCAAAGCCCTCTCAATTCACTGGAATCACGGTAAAGCACGATGCATGCGCAGGGTACTAGCTCAGAGAGCTGGACTCAAATTCCACAGGTCAAAGCTCCAAGAGCCAACATCTTCACATTACAGCTGGGAACTCAAACCCACTCCACTTTGGACAGTTTGCTTTGAAGCCTGAACAGCTAGCATGACTAGTCCGTCTTAGCTTCCAGGTCTGCTTCCACCTTCATTATGACTGTTGCCACTGAGAAATCTTATGGCTGTTTCCATCTGATTTTCCATTATCCAGATATAACCTATATAACCCCTATAGAACTAGTAGTTTTCATTTCATCTTCCATTATCCCTATATAACCCTAGATAACCCCTACAGAACCTGGATGTGCCAGGCCTTTCTCAGTCCAGTCAAAACTGTCATCCAGTGCAACCATGCTCGGTCCAGACTCCACCACGAGATCTGGGGCAAATCCTGAGTTGAGAACGGATTTTGTGGCTTGCTTGTCACCAAAGGTCCCAGAATCCCCGCCAATTCTGTGGTCAAAGCAGGAAAATGTGAGTTGTAATGGTCAGGCTTGAGGTTTCAATGGGGGTGGAATGTTCAAGGCTCGGAGCAGGCTCCGAAAGGTTCGTCGGTGGGGTCTTGCAATGTTGCGTATGTTGTGCCAATATGACATCCCAGGGTTGTTGTGGAGGTGGAAGGGAGATTCACGCCCCTGTCAAAGCCCCGTAACTATCATATGACGCTTGTAGGGCCTCATAGGGGTTACCAGAGCCGCCTCCGTGCCGAATACAAATCACTACACAACCCTATATAACCTCAATGTACCCCCAGCTTCCATTTGATTCTCCATTCCCTTCTCCATTTGATTCTCCACTATTGGGGCAATATCCCCAAACTCTACAAATTAGTTTCCATTTTCTTTTCCATTCTCCCTGTACAACCCTAGTAATGGATCCCTATAGTAGTTTCCAATTTTGTTTCCCATTATCTCATCAACCCCTAAACCCTAAACCCCATTATTGGGGAAGGGGTTGGGCTTCCCTGACTGCTTTGACCTTAAGCCTCAGGGCTCCCTGGCTACACAGGTCTGCAAAGCATATCCGGTGTTCCTGTCCCCATTACTTATGGGTGTTAGATAGAAATTTTATGGGTGTTTGTCAAAAGTATGGTCCCCTTTTGGATCCCTATTATAATACGGCACCTAATATCTAGGGTACCCAAAAAGGGACCTTAATTTTGACAACCACCCATATGGGGTGTAGGGTTCAGTATGTGGATAGCAATACTTCAACAGCTTAGACATATGATGCAAACTTCAGCAGCTGGCCTTACTCCTGTAGGCCTATACAGCCTAGAGAACAAAGAAGCACACTGAGAAGCCACGGAAAGTTCTGCAAAGACTATGTGAGGAGATACCTTGTGCAGGTTAGGGGGACTTTGACACATTCACCGTCCTTATGTAGCCAGGAGACTCTTGGGCATCAGCTTCGCCGCAAACCTTCATCTGCTGATTCTCATTTAACTTCTGGGGCTGGCAGCTACCATCAAGCCTCGCTCAACAATCGAAATGAAAGTCATCTTGGGCACGTAAAAGTGCCATCATCTCATCAGCAGACGGCTGTAAAGGTTCGACCAAGACATGCAAGTAGGCGATCTGCAGGCGCAACGACCCGGAAATTCCCTCATCCCCTAACTCTTGCTCACAAACAAGTATACGGTAAACGCCCCGTAAGAAGGGCTTCCACAGAAGAAGGATTGAGCAACGCGATCACCAACAGCCCTAAACTGCCACAGAATAGAGTCTAGCTGCAAGCCCAGGAGAGGCCTCCATCTATCCATATACACATCCTCATGCTCCCCAAAAGGATCCCCTGCACCTACACTTGCCAGCAGTAGTCTAAGGAACCCTACACACCCTCACCAGAACCCACAATCAAATCCTAGCTCACAAAACTCCAGACCCTAAATCCTAAACCACTAAACCTATATAACTCCTATGTCAAAGCCCTTCAAAACTCCGAAAGCCCAGGAGCTCTTGGAGCTCCAGGTCCGCAAAAGGCCCAGTCACGCTGTACTCCACCTCTGGCTCCAAGTGACCAAGGTGTTGCACCTGAGGGTCCCTTTTTTCTGATCGTAATAGTAGAACAGTTAGGGTTATAGTCCCTCTTAAGTAGATAGATTATAGCTTTGGGTGTATGGTAATGAGATCCCCATATACCCCACATTCTATCTACTTGAGGGGGATTATATAGCAATAGCTATGGTACTAACAGTAGGTATCAAGGCTACGGTAGTGGCAATGCTCATGGGAAAAGAAAAGAAAGAGAAATAGCAACGGTGACAACAATGGTGGAGGGGCTATACATGGCTACGCAGGGTTTTGCGGGTTTTGTTTGGTGGTTAAACCTGATAGGATTTCATTTCTGCTTCGAAAATACTACCATCTGAAGAGAAAATCAAGTTTGCGGACTATGGCACCCCCATCTAAGCTACGTAAACCCTAAACCCCAAACGCT